AAGCCGTGTGAACCGGATCTTATGGTGATGGCAGCTGTGGAGGGGTCACGTCGACGACTTCTTTTCTCTCGTACGGAAAGCTTGCACAAAAAGAAGCTGACTGTTGGCTAGAACGTAAACAAAATGAGAGCATAGATGAAAACATTTCTCTAGAGGAGGTATCAATGTTGCATAATTTTACAATGTTTTAGCAATACCTTTATTTCAATCAGCGAACTTTGATTACGGGAGAAATAAACGGAGGAAGGATACAAGGGAAGGAAATGGGCGCGTTTTTACTTTGAAGTGACCGATAGAGTAAATTCAAGAGACGAAAGATAACCTCTCCCGAGAAATGTATAATTTAAACCGCCTGTTCACAGTTAATTTTCTGTTTGGCGGCCGGGCCTGACGAAGATCTAACCGACTGACAAATCGAATGGAAAATTTTGTAGTTATCGCCTCGTGAATACACTTACTATTTTTCACGAATTACACTTCTGACAGCAGTGTAAACAGAAAAATATACATATATGTATACCGGGTGAGTCACCTAAGACTGGAAGCTGAAATATTTTCAAAACTGTTAATTACATCGAGAAAGGCTTCAAACAAAAGTTGAATGTTTTCGAGGGGGGCATTGTTTGATATGGCTAGAATTTTTGTAAATAGACGCGTCGAGAGCACCGTTACTTCAGGAGATATTTTAATTAAAATATTGCGAAATGGTGGACACTCTTACATCCAGAGGTCTTAAGTCATATGCAATATTCTTTAAGGATTGTATTGCAAAAATGTTTAGATGCCAACGGACATCATTTTGTAATAAGTAATATGTAACAACGTAACGAATATTTATATAAATCGGTTGTAAGGGTACTATGTATTCCGTACTATAAGTTGCGGTCATTAATTTCCAGCCGCATTTAGAATAGTATAACTTTTTTCAAATTGAACCCAATGAGTTCAGTTTTTGTCGAGAAATTCGAAGAATCAGTTTACTGTATATGTACATATTCAATTTATCCTTCTCTGGGGGTTCTCTTGCCTTTCTTTGTGGACTTTTAAGATAACAGTGTCCGTCCAATTTTTTGGACTCGGGTCACCATTCGCTGACCAACAAAGAGGGGATGTCTCCAGAGAGAAGTGTCTATGTCGGAGGTTTTGTTACCTTCGTAGCGGACTCGGGATTGAATTTCTTGGATCCGATTCCTTGGAATTCTGGTTACCATCTTCGGATACTGCAGGGGAAGGAGGATTCCCAGCGCAGCGTACATATCTCAAGTGAACTCCTGAAAAGCAGGAAGTTAACTTAAAGAATTTATCGAGTTGCGATTTGGTCTGCATCTGAGACCCGATGCACACATGTACATACATCGTAGCAGACGCAGAGAACCCAAGTTGTTTGTGCCCCTCTTGCAGCACCGTCGCTATAATTGACAGAGATAGAGTCCCAGGGGGAAGCAGACAGAGAGGAGAGAGAGAGAGAGAGACGGGGTGAACGAGAAGGGGAGGGGAGGAGAGGGGCAGAATTTAAGAAGAGAGAGAATCGCTTCAGATGTCTTTTTTATTTAAAATTCAATTTTTTTCCTTCGAAAACGCCAGAAAATTCACTTTGCCCACTCGTGGCGCCCGTTTCACCCCAGAAGCGGCAGCAACGATTTGTCAGTCGAGGAAACAACTGTCCAACGTGAATAACGGCCTACTCGAACGATTGTTGTACAATGGTTCGACGTGTTTCATTAAAACCGGAGGCTGGATTTTGTCACCTCTTCGACTCCGTTTGAGTTTCGACATCTGCGCGATGGAAAGATTTCTGAACCTCGTTCGTCACTGAAGAACTCCCATTTTTTTTAACTCAGCACATTTTACACCCTTTCTCGTCAATTTTAATATCGCAAAAATGCCTGAAACCGAAGAAAGAAGTATTACGTTTCAATGAAATCGGTCAATTTTCAACACTTTCTAAAAGAGGAAATATCGTTTCTTCCTCAAGTGTGATCCTTCAGCAGACGAGGAAAACTGGGCATCGAGAAGAAACGGATGTACCGAAGAGATTAAAGCCAACGACACGAGTGCAACTTCTTTCTTCGCGATGAAAATTTCGCGGACCGATGAGAAAGAGGTGTTCGGGGGTGGAAAACGACGAGCGGAAAGAAGAACGAATTTCACAATTCCCTTATCGATGTCTTCCTCACGCCGGTCGCGTACGATCCCTATTTTCGACGCGGCTCACCACTATTTGCGCATATAAATATTTTACGAGAGCCAGGAAGAAATCTCTATTTTCGTGCGGGCAACCCTATCGCCATCGTTCATAAGGAGTGATTTACAGCGAACGGAAGGCGATTATTATCTTCAGCGAGCTTCCTCCCTGTCGACAATGAGTCGCCCTAACTTGTATTTTTATCGTCCGAAAACACTTTCTTCTCGAAGAATAATATAAAACAAAATTGATCCTTTATTGTTCCTTTTTCTTCTTCTTTTTTTTTTTAGGTTAGGAGGAATTTTTCGCAGCGAATTATTTTAAACCGACGATATTGGGAAAAATGCGGATGACGTAGGTGGAATAAAACGTTTGAAAAAGGTAAAGGTAATAATTCTTCTTAATGGCGGGGAAAATGAATCACGAAATGGTAAAAATAGCGGAAACGCGTCGAATTATATTGCACCGGGGCGAGGCAAATAAACGTCTCCGCGAATTAAGAACACGCTCCCGGAGTTCAGGCCTCTGTAATAGCGATTTACGCGCCGCCCCTTCGCCCCCTTCATTTTTCAAGCTGGTACAGGGCCTCTCAAAATGGCTACCGACGAAAATTCCCGTTCTTCTTTCGATAAAACGCCACCAAACCTACGTTAAAATATTCTACGTTGTAAACGCGAGACCTCCACATAGTTTTCATAAGAAAAATAACGAAAATGTACCAACACATTGATAAAATTACAACAAAACAGCAATTTTAACTTTCTTCTTTTCCTACTTCGATTCATACGACTGAAAAATTTCTAGACTAATTCACGTGTATTTTTAATGCAAAACAAGCAACAAAACAATCAGTGAAATTACAATAGACTACCAATTTATCATTTTCTTCTTCTTCCCATTTATGTCCGAAAAAATTGACAAAATCGATTTTCACCAGATTCTACGCAAAAA